CCTGACTCTTACCCATCGGAGGTTCTCTTATCATTGAGTCAAAGTCGGACAAAGCGCGACGACGCGAGGAGAGCGGACTTGAGGAAAGCGGATTTCGGTATCGTAGGAGAAGAGGCGGACGAAGATCGGAGGGAATGGCGATGACGAACGGACTTGGGGCTTTCCTAAGGGAAGGCTTGTCGCCGGTCTCTCCCTTCCGTTCAGGCTGTCTATCTGCAGGAGTGGACGAGTGCAGACTAGTGGTATTTTCCTTTTCGTGTGATTCTAGGCAAGATACCATGCTGGCTAGGCGTTAGGGGAGGGTTCATCGACACGCGTTAACGATAATTGAATTTCTGGCATTTCATGATGAGGCTTGGGGTTTGGATTTCGCCACGTACCTAGAGGGCTGTGAAACTTCCTGCATTACCCTCTGCCAACCTTGGTTGGTCATTTTGGCTCATCAGTAGTTCTTCTCTTTCGAAGTAGGAACCAATCTGCCAAGAGCGGCGTTACTGTCAAGGACGTCCGTGATTCTGGCTTACCTTCTTCTCGTCTTCAGTAATACCGGGCGGAGTTCTCCTGGACATCCGCGATTTCAGTCCACTCCCGTCATCATCCTCCAACGATCGGGGCTTTCCTGGCCGTGATTCCACTTCGCATCGCCCTTCACGTAGTCTTCGGGGCGGGTTTCTCCTAACCCGTGATTTCGATCCATCTCAACGTACGCAGGATATCCAAATTTGGCATCCGTCAGGTTTGCAATCTGTTGTTGGGCACGAAAATCCTCGTCAAGCAACAAGAAACGGCCGTCCTTCAGGCTTCCCTTATATCCAACAAACAGTCCAGAGTTTCGTGCCGCAATGTCTCATTTCGAGACCTCGTACAGCGCCGTCGTATCGGATCGCTTCTCGAATCGTTACATCAGCCCATATTGCATCATGTCGCATAGACGGCGAGACCAAGGGCGCACACGGGGTGGCCGGGGGCAGCCTCAACGGCCGGTGGCCCCTATTTCTCCTGACGGTGTTGCCGAACAAGTGCAACAAGGTACGTCTCCCTTTCTCTTTCTCTGTCTCTCATGTGGAAACCTGTTTGGGGGCCGGTGAGACGGATGCTCCGGTCCAGTGTCTCATGGTAGGTTCCTGTCATTGCCAAAGTTCCCTCGCTGACAACGAATGACCATCAAGTTGGAGAGTCGGGACCCTTCCAGCGCGGTCTTGCCGCAGCTGTCTTGTTGGGCCGGTCTTTCACTCCAGCGGAGAACAGATACCTGTATCATCGTCTACCTATGCGTCAGCCACCCACGGCGAGGACCGTGTTAGGCCACTTCAGCGAGCTACCTGCCCTCTACCGTAGCCTAGCTGATGGAACGAGGTCAGGTCTCGATACAGAGGGGCGGGAACGGGAGAGGGCAGAGAGACTTGTTGCTCTTGCAGATGTTTTGGCAAGGGGCTATGGAGAGCTGGTTGTCTGTCTACCTGTGCAGCGCATTGAGGATATCATAAGGCGAAACATGGGTGAGAATAGGATTAGTAAGTTTTGGGAGAAGGTGTTGGAGGAGGTTGAGGTACGTCTTTCTCTCACAGAGTTGATACAAGCTGAAGTAAGCTGACGAGGGAGCCCCTAGATCGAGAACTTGCGCTACATCGTCTCATGCTCTTGGGTTGCACTCTTCATCGTCCAACTTTCGCAGGCATCGAGTATATTGGCAAAGGCCTCGCTCACCGACAACGAGCAAGTCCTGGTTATCACGAGCGCCGGGCTGGCGCTGTTGTGGGCTGTGGTAGTTACATCAGAGGGTTTAACGTTTGCGCATGAGAAGCGAAGGCAAGATGACCGGTATTTGAATGGGATCATTGCCAGAGAGTTATGAAGCAATAACGAGATTTCATACACGTAACTTGGAAGGATAAACGAACTCAGGGGCACTTATGACTTACGATTGCTATTCGAAGATGTACTTTTTGCTACGAATATCTCTCCGTAGTGAGCTTGACTGTATTATTACTGTTTCTTTCATTGTTTAGTAATTTTGTCTTATGTACTGCATCTCGGCACCAGTCTTTATCCTAGAGCGATCCAGCAAGGTTAATCATTCTTCAAGACCCAATAACTCTCCTATACAAATCGTGGGCCTGTCATCCATCTCAAGTTAGATCATGCCAAGGTACCCAGAGACGAATCATCAGCTAAGATAGGCACTTCGAGAAGCTTCGCCAGGAGAACCAGCGAATACCCAGCGTGTAATCATGACTTTCCGAATACGCCAGCTATCCATCTAGGTTCAAACACACCACCCGCCCTCGATACCTCTATAATTCGCAACAAGATGAGACTCTGTCGCCAAGGCCTATGACGTAGCGGAGAATGTCCTCGTTTGATTTGCTCCGCACTCATAGGTCTCGAGTTCGAGTCTCGTGTAAAATCCTTGCATCGCTACACCTGAGGTTGGTAAGAGTTGGAGGTTTTCGTAGGCCGCCCATGAGGGCGGCCGAGCTTTTGCCACTTTTGAATCCTGAAATCATCTATCATCATCTAATTTCCATCTCCTTTGTCCTGCAAAACACTCCAAAACTTTGACCATCGTGAGAACGAAGCATTGGTGTTGAGTGAGCGAGCTGGCGAAGAACCTATGACGTATGTGAGGCACCTCCTATCAGTCAGCCACATGTGGAACTGTGGCGGTGCAAGCGCTCTGAACTTTCCTGAGCTGCTTCCGTCATGTCGACACCACGCGGACAATCACCCAATGAGACTTGGTGTCTTTGACCTCTTTACATCTCCGATTCCAACCTCTGTTTGATGATATTTGCACCCCTTGTGCGATAGAGACTTTTCTTCTCTAATCATCAAACACCAACGATCCCCGAGACAATCGCGAGAATGGCGCCCGTAAAACGAGGCCCGTCGGTGCTGGTCCGTCGCATTCCCTTCCCCATAATCGAGTCTACGCCAAATGCTAATGCGAGTCTACTGTAGGTGACCGACTCGCGAGAACGACCTCCACCCCCGAGAGGTGCCCTCCAACGACAGGATACGGGCATCGGAAACGTCCCCGCCCGACCTGCAATGCGCTTCATCTCCGTCGACAACGTCCTTCAGCACGCCTACGACATCCCCTCGGGCCAGCCTCGAGTGCAACCACCGCAGAACCAGCCCCAGCCTCAACCACAGTCTCAACCACAACCGCCACCGCAGCGCCCTGGCAATGGCCTCGCAAACGCTCGGCGCCCCAGCACAGGGCTACCCAACCTGCAGTCCAGGACGGGCGGCCAAAATATGCCGTCTCGCACCACCAAGATCAGCGAGAAGCTCGTTCTGTTGCCCGAGACGGACGAGAAGCCAGGTTCTGACGAGGACTTGGATGAGGAGGCGAACAAGATGGCGAGAGAGATTGAGATGGAGGAGAACAGGCCGCTGCGCGATGAGGAGCTCGACGTGCTGCGGAAGAGAGGCGGCATCCGAGGCAAGAGTTATGCGGAGCGTCTTCCCAAGGTTCAGCGCAAGGAAAAGCTGGCTAGACTGACCGCGTATTGTACGGCACAATCGTACAAGATGAAATCGACGGCGGATTTCCTCCGAACCAAGCACGACGCAAAGACAAAGCTCTACGACGACTGCCTGTACGTTGTGTACTCGCTACCTCTCCTGAATGGTACAGAGGGCTACCGCCTTCGCAGCCGGCCGATCGTTAAGACCCCCGGAAGCGGCAAGACGGTCCTGGACATGGAGATTGAGCGGAGCGAACAGCGCGACTACCACGAGGGCTACTTTGAAGACGGATACAACGGCAGTCCCGTCCACGGAAGCCCCATGAACGGCAACAACGGATTCGGTGATGAGTCCTCCCAGCGCAGTCACCGTGAGCAATCTCCCGACGACCCAAACTTGTCCCCTATGGCGCGGATCCCAGACGCAAAGGCGTTTGCCGAGATGTTTCTCTTCTCATACGGTGTCGTCGTCTTTTGGAACTTCACAGAGCATCAGGAGAAGGACATCCTCGCGGACCTGACATTTGCCCAGAACGAGGCGGGGCTTTCTCTGCTCACCCGCCCGCTTGACGAGGAGGACTTTGAGACGGAGGAGTTTCATTTCGAGTACAGCCACGAAGTGAAAAGGCCGCGCATCTTTAACGACATGATTACCCTGCTGCCACGCAGCGACCACATGGTGAAGCTGACCATTAGCCACGCCATCGCGCAGAGCACAAAGTTGTGTCTATTTGAGGAGCGCATGAGCGAGACGATGCTAGATGCGCAACACGTACCCAAGAGGCTAGCACTCACGGGCGAGTTGAACATGACGAGAACAGAGATTGTCAAGATCCTGGGCCGCTTGTTCAAGAGTCGTGTCGACATCAACCTATGTAAGTTACCTTCAGCCCTCCCTACCTCTGTTTCCGGCCTGTGGCATACTTGGAACCAGATTTGGCTCCAACCACGAAATCTCCCATCTAACAAAACTCACCAGCATCCAATATCCTCGACGTCCCCAACTTCTTTTGGGACTCGGAACCCACACTCCACCCCCTTTACGTCGCCATCCGGGAATACCTCGAAATCGACCCGCGCATCAAGGTCCTCAACGAGCGCTGCCGCGTCTTCCTCGACCTCGCCGAGATCCTGTCCGACTCGGTCGCCGACGCAAAGATGAGCTACATCACCTGGATCATCATCGTCCTCATCGTCATCTCCATCCTCGTCACCGTCACTGAGGTTGGTCTGCGCTTTGGCATCTTGTCCAAGAATAACGGCAAGGGTCCTGGCGAGATTGGAGGTGATGCCGTGCCGTTGATTGGCGGTGCATCCTTACCTGGGAGCGTCAAGTGGGAGCTTGAGAAGAGGAACGTGAGCGTCGATGAGTTGAGGCTGTGGAGTCGGATGCTGAGTGAGGAGGAGGCAGAGGAGGCGCAGCTTTCAACTGAGGTTGTCGGGAGTCAAATCATCGGCAAGACTTTTGCTGGCGTTTAAGGCAGTGGACAGGTGATGGGTTTCCCACTTCTGCGATGTCATCTTTTTGTATCATTGTTGTTATTGTTTATTGCATAGCGTGGCGTTAGCGGCAATATTTCTTCTTTCTCGTGTCTTCCATCTCTTAAATGAAATCTGAGCAAGGGGAAATAATATGGGACGTGGTTCTTTCTTGTATCTCTTCATTCTGTACAATCGGATAGCTTCACAGAGGAAAATTTGGAGACACGGATGACAACAAAATAACACGAGGACAATTAAAACGTTGTCTGAAGTGATTTAACGTCCGCATTATAACTCCATTGCTATGCTACTAAAACAGCGAGAAGACCAAGCACGGATCAAAACAAAGGGAAACCGTCCGGCTTCAACGCCAGATAAACTATGTTTTCTTTCTCTGATGAGAAGAGGGGGCTTGGAATCGATAGCCCAAATTTGCCCCAAATGGAGGCCACCCCTGATTCTGTACAAGTATTCACAAAACAATACAAAATTGACACTGATCCCTTACTCATCCCGATCAACCATGTTGGCCAGCGGGACGTAGCCCTGATCCTGCGTCCGCTTGCCCCTGAGTCTGCGAACGACATACTTGACTCTACTGAGGATGCCGAATCCGCGTCGCTTGGTCTGGGCCGAGGGGTCGACCATGTAGCTTGGGCGCGTCCAGAACTTGAGCAGAAGACTGCTGACGACGACGCTGACACTGCTGCAGGCCATGGCGGCGCCGGCGGCCATCGGGTGGAGGTGGAAGCCAAAGGGCAGGAAGACGCCCATGGCGAAGGGGAGGCCAATGGCGTTGTACAAGCAGGCCCAGGCGAGGTTGAGCTTAATACGGTTGAAGATGGAGCGGGCGAGGTGGAGGGCGGCGGGAATGTCCATCAAGTCGGTGGGACGCATGAGGACGACGTCGGCCGCCTCCATGGCGACATCTGTGCCGCTGGCCATGGCAATACCGACGTCAGCGGTTGCGAGGGCGGGGGAGTCGTTGATACCGTCGCCGACCATGCCGACGACTTCGCCCTGATCCTGGAGCTGCTGGACAATGGCCTGCTTCTGGTCAGGAGAGACACCAGCGAATACGTTGTCGGGGGAAATGCCGACGGCCGCGGCGACGGCAACGGCAGTAGAACGCTGGTCGCCAGTGACGATTGCGGTCTTAATCTTCATTCGGTGGAGGACAGCAATGGCAGCAGCCGCACCCTCCTTGATTGTATCGGCGAGGCAGAGGTGACCGGTGTACTCGCCGTCAATGGCAACAAAGATGTTGGTGGTGCCGGCAGAGGTGTTCTTGGAGCTGGAGTTGGCCTTGGCGTTGAGCTGCTCAGACGCCTCTACAGCCTCGGCTGGGACGTTGACGTTGTTCTCGCGGAGGAAACGGACGTTGCCGAGGAGGACGCGGTAGCGGGTGCGTTCGTTGCTGACGGCGGGTTCGACGAGGGCGTTGATACCTTTTCCTACAGCAGCCTTGAATTCGCCAACGCTGCCGTCGACGGTGGCCTCCTCGTCCAAACCGAGCTCAGTCTTTGCGGCATTGAGAACAGCCCTTCCAACAGGATGTTCACTGCCCATCTCAGCGAGGCCGACGATATGCCACCAGAGTCGGCGGCGCCACTCATTGTCTTGCCAGGATGAGATGAGACTCATCTTGGCTACGCTCATCTTGCCGTAGGTGATTGTGCCAGTCTTGTCCAGAACAATCTGGGTGATTCTAGTCGTCGTCTCCAGAGCGGCACCACCCTTGACGAGGATGCCATTCTCAGCACCGATACCGGTGCCAACCATGACGGCGGTAGGAGTGGCCAAGCCGAGAGCACAGGGGCAGGCAAAGACAATGACAGAGATGCAGAGCTTGACGCACACCATGATCTTACCGCCACTAGCTTCCTGAGTAAAGATCTTGGGCGGGTTCTTGAGCGCATGGCTAAGGATCATCCAAACAAGGAACGTAAGGAAACCGAGCATAAGAATGATTGGTACGAAGTAGCCAGCAATCGTGTCAGCGAGTCGCTGAATGGGAGCACGAGTGGTCTGGGCATCCTGGACGAGCTTGACAATCTGGCTGAGCTGCGTGTCGCGGCCGGCTCTGGTGACTCGGAAGTCCACACGTCCATGGCCGTTGACGGTACCGCCGATCAGATAGCTGCCCTTCTTCTTGTTGACAGGCATGGCCTCGCCAGTCACCATGCTCTCGTCAACGTAGGTCTCTCCGCGGACCATCATGCCGTCCGCCGGAATCTTGTCACCAGGGCGAAGGATGACAACGTCGCCAACCTGGAGCAGTTCGGTGGGAATGACCTTCTCCTCTGCAGCATGGCCATCGCGGTTGGGTGTCTTGGGTTCGCCGGAAACAGTCGAGTTTTCCCAACCCTCAGCAGCCTTTTCGGCGGCGATCGGGTCAGCGTAAATGGTAGCCATGGACGGTGCGAGAGACATAAGACGGGAGAGGGCCTTGGAAGTCTGACCCTTGGCGCGGTTCTCCAAGAATCTGCCGAGGGTAACAAAGGTGATCAACATGGTACTAGTATCGAAGATGGTCGCGGGTCTCGTGTGCGGCGGGAAGAGGAACGAGACGAGCATGGCCATGATGCTGAAGAAGAAGGCGCAGGAGGTGCCAAGGATGACGAGAACGTCCATGGTCGGTGACCCGTGCTTGATGGATTTCCAACCTGAAATATAGAAACGCTTTCCAATGCCAAATTGGACGGGTATCGTGAGGGCCAAACAGACCAAATCGCCAACGAAGATGCCGGGGAGAAGCTCCCAGCTGCCAAAGTCTAGGCTTGGGAAGCACATGGGCAAAATCATACTGATAAAAAATACGGGGATAGCGAATGACAGAGACAACTTGAAGGCTCTCCGCCACTCGTTGATCTCTCTAGTCTTAGCCAAAGACTCGAGCTGGGCGTTGTTGTCGTCGTTGTCGGACACGAGTGCGTTGAGGCCCTCGGCTTCGACAGCCTCGACAATTCCACGCAGGCCGATCAAGCTGGCCTGGTGCGTGACCGTCAATCTGGAGGTAGCCAGGCTGAGCTTGGCAGAGTTGATACCGGTGATGGTAAGCAGCTTTGCCTCCAGGGCCATGGCGGCTGTGGCATCTGGGTTGCCGTAAATCTTGAACTGGGCGGTAGAGTTTCCTCCTGATCCATTGGCAGAAGTCTCGAAAGCCGTCGACAGAATCTCAGCACCGAAGCCCCGGTCCTCAATGATCTCGGCGATCTTTTCCGCCGGAAGTTTTGTTGTGTCGTGGGTAATGACGGCGCGCTCGGCCAACAAGCTGATGTTGAAACGCAAAACACCCTCCACCTCCTTGAAGCCGCCCTCAACCGCAGACGTACAGGCGCCGCAGGTCATGCCCTCAATTGCAACTGTTGTAGTGGCGACAGAGCTCGTGGGATTGCTGCTAGCTCTGGGCTTTTCTTGTGCGCTTTCGCTGTCCACAATCTCAGCGCCAAAGCCCCGGTCCTCGATGATTTCCGCGATTTTCTCGGCGCTGAGCAGTGTCGGGTCATGCTCAATGACAGCCCTTTCGGAGAGCAAGGATATGCTAAAGTTCTTTACACCCGGCACGTCTTTGAACCCTCCTTCAACAGCTGATGTGCACGCGCCGCACGTCATTCCCTCTATGGCGACTGTGGTTGTCATCAGTCCGCTGTCCTCCTCGGCATCAAACAGGTCTTGCTTCGCTGGGAACATTGGTGAGGGAAGATCGGTGGAAAGTACTTCGGCGTCGAATCCTCGGTCTTCAATAATCTCGGCGATTTGCTCGGCAGAGATGACTTCGGGGTTGTGCATTACTACTGCTCGCTCCATGACCAGAGCGACAGAGACGCTTCCTACGCCCTCTACACCTCTGAAGCCTGATTCTACTGCTGAAGTGCATGCGCCGCATCTGTTGAAATTGGGTAAGCATATCGAAGCGAAAGTACATCGCAACAGAGCGCAACTCACGTCATGCCGCCAACCTTGAGAGTCGTCGTCGCCCACTGGGTTGCTGTTGGTGTGGCGAGAGTAGCCATGGGACCACTCTCGCTCTTCCTCGGGACTCTAATGGCCGGAGGAGCCATGTTGTCGGTTTGTCTCTGGAGAGTTTGCGCTCGGAACGCGGACACGGTAGGAGTGTAGGGCCAGCCTCGGTGTTTGGTTGCGCTTCGGTTTCGGGACGTTTTCCACAGCTATCTAGCGCCAATCTTCATGTAGGGCTAGCTGTCCATAGAGAGGTTGAAGAGTATTCTCGTGAGGTTATTCGAAGACGGGTTCGAGGTCGAGAAGAAGCGAGGACTCTCGAGGTAAAGCCGGAAGTAAGAGGCTTTCGGGGAATGCTCCAGAAGACCGGCTTCCGAGTACTATGTACGGATACTGAAAAGGTGGGTATCGTGGTGTTTGAGTGTACGAGTCTACGTGTTCGTGTGTGCGTACGGAGAGTATGTTGGTGCGTAAAAGCAAGTGTACGTACGTGAGTAGTGCGCAAAGAAAGAGGCCGGGTCAAGGTAGGATTAAGAATCAAGGGCCCGGGAGGCTAGAAGAAGAACGGCGGCAATCAATGGCACGATGGGCAGCAGGAAGGCAAGAGAGTGAGAGGCTTGTGCTTGGGGTAGGGACGGAAGCGGAAGGTCGGCTTTTGTCAGCCAAAGTTTCGTGCACCGGCAGGAATGGGACCCATGGTCCATGGAAGTGATGGGAGTGGGAGTGGGAATGGGAATGCCCACACACCAGGATGCAATGCAGCGGCAACAGGAGCGGCCAGTGAACCAAAAGTCACAAACCAGCATCAGAAGAAGACGGAACGGCGGCGGCGTGTGGGTGCGCGCGGTGTAGCCGGGATCTAAGGTAATCATCTGGCGCAATCGTGGGACTCTCACTCGAGACCACCTAAGGTACCTACCTAGGCAGGGGTGTGTGGGAGGGAAGTGGCCCCAATGGCCCGAAGGGGGTGTGCAGTATCGCTGGCTGCAGCGCTGCTGGTGTGTCTGAGTGTGTGAGTGGGACACCTGGAACGGAATATTGAACATTTCTATGAGAGAAACTGCGACTCTAGCTGCAATACTGCAACGCTCTCAGCGCCAACCCAGCTTGACAAAATGTTTAGTGTTGCCATGTTCCATATTGCACGACGGGCAATGGCTGCATTCGTTTTGGGGCTCGTGCGGTTGGTTCCTTCCATTGCTTTTTGCAGTTAAAACTCCAGCAACAAGAGTTTCCTGGCTTTCTTCCCCCCTGCTCTTATCCTGATCTTGGCTTTTTAAATTGGTTTCCCGTTTCGCCTCCTTAGTCTTGAGTCTCTTTTTCTACTCCGTACACTACTCCGTACGCTGCTCCCGAACTCCACCCCTGACCAAGGTTGTTGATTACCTCATGGGCTACACCAAAGCCGTCACCCGGCGCCGCGAGTCTTTGCATCATTGCCACGAGTCGACCCTGAGCAACGAGACATACAAGACACAAGAGCAAAGAGTGACACTGAAAAAAAAACGTACGGCACATGTAGAAGTGTGTCAACGACTCGACGGGCGTGGCCGAAGTGACCAGCGGGACTCGCACGGGTGATCCCAGCCCGCACTGCAGCTTTCGGTGCTCGGGCGCCACACCTGGGCCGGGCCCCCTCCCACTTCTCTCCTTCCATCTCCTTTTGACCACCTTGCGCTCTTGGTCTATTTCTGGGCAAAGAGATCAGTGGGGGGATCGCGAGAACCTCGCACTAATCTCAACTTGTCCAGATAACCAATATCTATCCGCTCCTTGCCCTGCGCACCGCCTACCTAGATATATGTCAGATGTCACATCGCATACAGGTCCCAGTTTCTGCCCATCATCCACGAGGACTTGAAGACCTCTTTTTGCGGATAGGTGTACGGATACCATTCCTTGACCGGTGAGACATCGAGTCAGGGCTAGGTCCGGCTGTGCATTTCCAACTAAATACTATTCATGGCACTTCCCGGGGAGCATGTAAGACTGACTGGGCTGACTGGATTGAACTGACTGGATTTGGGTAAGCTGAGCTGATGGGTGCCAGAAACTATTGCCACACGCTCACGACAACCTTACCATCCTATCCGCCGGCATACGCAAACACACCCTCGCCTTTCCTCGCCCGGGGAGCGCCTGCGCTACGGCTAAGGTACGAGGGAACGGAACACGACGACGCACCTGAGCCTGGCTCACGAAACATTTTGGGGGGGGAGGGGGGGCACGGTCACTTGAGGCAGTTTTTTAGGGTCCAAGGGACTCCTGGGTTCGGATTGAGCTTCAGCCTCAGACCAGTCTACCTAGTCACCCAAAACCGAGTCCATCCGAATTCTCCATTGGACGGTTTAGACCCAGCGCGTCTCGAGGTGGGACTGTGGGCGCTATGCTTCATGCTCCTGGAGCCGTGTGCCGTCTCTTCAACTGAACATGAGGAACACAAATCAACTGGACTGAACAGCGATAGTGGTAACGGAGTATTTGTGATGCTTGTCCCAAGATCTCTGTTGCTACTGATTGATTCCTATCAGACTCGATTCGTTTGGCAATCTGTGGCTCTCGAGTCCGAGTTGTACTCGGTATCGGTCTGTCATTCTCAAGACCGACTTCCACCATGACTTAATTTTGAGTTTCCGACGGACCGACCAATGGGCTCCATCAACTTCTACCTGTCAGACCGCCGGCAGCAAGTCATACTGCCCATTCCGAAGTCAACAACAAAGAGTCCACGTTGATATCGATAACTTACGATTTGTGCTTTTGAAGAGGGGTTATGACGCTGATTCAACTTACTATCTGTGCCAAGCTCCAACATAAGGTGCATAATCCATCATCCATATCTGTAATGACCTCGACATCCTTTCAAAAACCACCCGGATGCGGAAGGTAAAAGTGGCATACAAGACGATTCTCCCTCATGAAGAATGATGACATGTGGCCGACCCTAGGTGCAAATTGATCTTCGGGAGATTTTCGCAATGAATCCCAGTCCCTTGTAAAGACCAAAATCGCCAGGTTCCGGCTCGAACTTCCCACAGTTGCTTCTCGAAGCCGTTTTAGCTTCCGACCAGTTCATCAGAGAAACGATCAGTGTCAGTCTCAGCCCCCTTGCCGTGGTTTTCGATCAACGGGAAGGCGACAAAGGGAATGATTTACTGCCATGCTCCTTCATTGTTCCATCCCGTGTGCAACTTGAGGTAAGATCGCTACGAATAGAAAGAATACCTACCGAACTCAAGGCCAAGAGCTTCCATTCCAGTTCCAACTCCCCCGTCACCGCCGTCACCAGCCTGGCTGGTACGGGATGCCCCATCCGGCCTTATGTTAAGGTGTGCCTCGAAAGTGCTTTCCTTAGGTAAGGTTATTGAGGTTACCTTAGGTAAGATGTGCCGACCCCACCAGCACCCCTTCCAGGTTCCCTAAACCGCTCTGCCCCGCGCCACTAAGGCACCCGTGGATCTCTGTGGCAGCGTCCCCATTCGCTCTTGCAGCGGCCTGTCTGGACTGGCACCTCAAACGGATCTGACACAAGCTTCGTCCTCAGAACGATCTCCAGAAGAAACACACCACAAACGAACCAAACCCCCTTCGCTTCTTCACACCCTTACCTTGCCAACCTCTGACGACAGTGAGGTAGCATACACCGAAAGCGAATCCTCTTTCTCAGCCTCGTCTCGTCCGATCCCAGTCGATCAACCTACCTTCAGCCTCGTCAACCACCCCCACATCGTGCTATTGTAGCCCAGGTAGTGACGACAGCTACTCTACAGCAGTACCCCACCTTGAAGGAGCTTCGTGAACATCACAGACGAGAAGCTCTCACGATGGAGCAGACCAAAGCTCTCAATGCGCTCGAGGTAAGTAGCCAATCGTCACCTACACTCGTATCCAAGATCCAAGTGCTGATCAACATTCGTCAACAGCCCTTCCTAGCCCTGAGCAAGTCCGCAACATCACCTCGCGCCGCAGCCGACCTCGTCACCCGCGCAACATCAAACCCAAACACCTTCCTCTTCACAGAGCTTCTCGAGACCCCGCAAATCCAAGCCCTCGCCCAGTCCCCCGACTTCGAACCACACCTCCGCCTCCTCGAGCTCTTCTCCCATGGCACCTACGCAGCCTACCAATCCGCCGCGGCCTCAGCATCCCCCCTCCCTGAGCTCAACGATGCCCAAACCCTCAAACTCCGCCAGCTCTCCCTCCTGACCCTGGCCCGCGACCGTTCGAACCTGTCCTACGCAGCCCTCCAGTCCGCCCTCGGCCTCCCCTCCACCCGCGCCCTGGAAGACCTCGTCATCTCCGCAATCTACGCTGGCCTCCTCGACGCCACCCTCGACCCCTACCGCCAAGTCGTCCAGGTAAACTCCCTCGCCGCCCTCCGCGACCTCGCACCCGGCGCTGTACCGCCCATGATCGCCGCCCTCCGCGCCTGGTCCAGCCGCTGCGAATCCACCCTCGGCGACCTAGAGTCCCAGATCGCAGGTATCCGCGACGCCGCCGCCCGCCGCCAGCGCGACAAGGCGGAGCAGGATGCACGCCTGGCCAAGCTTGTCGAGGATGTGAGAAAGGATCCCGAGGCCATCGCCGGTCCGGGGGGCAGGAAGCTCGCTGTCGGCCATGCGCAGCACGGCGGCAGCGGTGAGAGAGTAGGCGGCTTCTTGGGCCATACGTCTAGAGCGCAGCGGTACAACAAGCGAGGTAGCACCAGCATGATGGACAACACAGAGGAGATTGACGACGAGGCCATGGACGTGGACGAGGAGGATGATGAGCAGGAGAAGAAGCGTGCCAGTCGACGGAAGCTTTAGTGGGTTGATTGCTTGGTGGCATAGCCGAAATCATAGAAGAGGATGCTCCTGGCATCGGGAACACGTCTCCTTGGGGTTTAACTTTATCAGGACCATCGGCCGGGGAGCACCACACTAGAATGCTTGGTAACATTCATTGAGGTGTCAAGGCGTGGCACAGGACAAAGGTGGAAGGTGAAGCAGCCAAAAAGTAGCACGATGAGCATTATCACGATACATTATGAGAACTCAATAAATAAGGTCAACATCGAATTCGATAATAATGACAGAGAATGCCCTCTACCGTTTCCTGTTCTGTGATGCCTATCTAGTGTGCCATTGATAAAATGTCAAGGGAATGTAAAAAGTGAATGAATGTGTCGAAGCCAAAAGGTCTCCTACCCCCCTCTCTCCTCTGCCTCTTCCTCAGCCTGCCTGGCAGTTTCACCCGCCTTCAGTAGCCGAGGAATCAATTGTCAATTCCGCATTGTCAATAATGATACACCAATGCCTTGTGTACATTGAAAAGAAATTAAATCTGTCCCTCGTTGAACGCCGTGTGCGAGGCTATGTTCCCATGGGGGGGGGGGGGGACCTCGACTTTCCCTACGCCGTTGCCTCTCTGGTATCCTGAATGGAAGACCGAATCAAAACCGAAAATTTTGGGAAACTCTGTCGCTCGAAATCCTGGGGGTCGTAACGTTCGTAAAAGCTCTCTCTTGGGAGACAAAGCGTCCGTATTATTACATCTGTGATGTGGTATGGGGCCGCGCATTGTTGTTCTGTTTGGGGTATTGCAAGACAGCCTTTGTTTGTGGTACCGGACAAAACAAGGCATTTTACAGCCGTTTGCCAGGGACAAGGATGAAAAGCACACAGAGCGCAGCGTCGATCAAGAATGTGACGGCAAGGACCATGATGGACCGCTTAGCAAGGAGCTTACGAACGTAGGGCTCACGAATTCGAGAGAAGTTGAACGGGGTGTACTCGCTGAGGCCGATGAGAGCGAGGACGGGGTCCAGAGAGTATTGGTATGATGCGAGGAAGTAGACACCAACGGTGAACGGAAGAATCAGCTGAAAGATAAGTTAGCAGGCATATCTCAGGTGTGAGGTCACGGATAAGCTCACCCAGCATCTGGTAGTTCGAGGGGCATTGAGGAAGATGAGAATGAAGGCGGCCCAGAAGCCACCGAACATGGCCAGGAGACCAACAATCATTCTGATCTGAAGAGTGGTCGGAATGAGGTTACCAAGGGCCTTCATTCTCAAGAAGTTGGGGAAGGCATCGCGTTCCATAGCCTGAAAGACGTAGTCCTTGGCAACGTCAAACACCTCTGGATCGTCTCTACCAAAGTCCTCAATGGAGGTCGTGACGTCCTGAGTAATGGAACCCGGAAGAATGATCTCACGCTCGGCGCCCGGGAGGAGGAACGTGTAGAGAATCTTCTCCGCCGAAGCCCGGATGTCCTGTCTCGCGACGGTGTGTGCGGGAGAGTTGGAATCCGTCGTCAGGTCGCGCGGGGTGCTGAAAGCCCCACTGGGACGGCTGCGATGCTCTCCGGTGCTGCTTTGAGGGGAATCTTGGGCCTCTTCTCTCAGGTAGGCCGACATTTGGGCATCTTGATTCTTCTCCTTCTCAGTCGCATACATCGATGGGCCAGCGGCGGAATGGCTCATGTCACCAAGTCCATCCAAGATCTGGGAAGATCGCTTGGAGCCTGACTTATCCAAGTCGGGCGTGCCAACCAGGACGGATCTGCGAAGTTCGCGCACATAGTGGCGGCACAGGGACATGTGCTGAGCAACATCGAGCCTATCCTTCGTTAGTGAACTGACGCGTGGTTTTGGGGTGCTGTTTGCACGAACCAGAAATCGAGGTAATCGACGGATTTTTGCTGATCTCTCATGAAAATGTAGAAAGAAAAAAGGTCGACGGGCGGCAGAGTTCGACGGCTCAAGACCTCAAACAGAGTCGGCAATCGGTTTCGGTGCAGGTCTGGCTGAGGAGATGGCGAGCCGGAGGCTCCAGTTGATCGGTCCTCCATGGTGTCGATCGAGTCGGATTGGCGAGAAGAATCGGGAGACGGAATCGGAATTATGTAGTGATTGATGAAGAAAAATCGGACGAGAAGGAAACGGCCGCCGACAGAGTCGCTGTCGTCGGGTGGTGCGAAGTCGAAGTTTGGTCGTCGGAGAAGCGCGGTACGGATATCGTAAATGAGGTTTGGCAGGTGCACTCCGCAAAGGTTCGGTCGTAGCGCGGCTGTATACTCGTCGGTTGCTAGGCTTCCCTCAGGTCGGTTTGTGTACTGAACGAGCGTAAGAAGGGAAGGATCGCGCACGGCGCAAACTGACAGCGTCAGTGTGATTGACGATGGCGCTGCAGGGCGTGATGGCTTGAGTCTTGGGATGCCGTTGGAATACGGCATAACAGCAGATCAAGCAAGCACTCAGACCCAGACACTAATTTCGTTCAGGTTGTCTGGTCAGGGGGGATACGACCCACGTGTACGTACTTTCCTCCGAAAAAGCGCGCTTTCCCACTGTCAGTGTGGTCCCACTTACACACGAGTCCACTTTCCTGTAGCGCCTTAGCTTCTCAGGCACTCAGACGTTTTCTCGAGCAACGTCACGTGCCCCATTCAAAGAAAAGAGGGACAGGTGGGAAGAAAACGCCGCATTACCTCAGCTTCCCCAGCCACATGCACAGGCCCCGCCTCAGCCACGGAAAAGCAGGTAGGGCTTGCAATTTCTCGCTTCACATTTTGTGGGATGACCTGCCGGACTACGCAAAACCATCACATCGACAACTTCTTAGACAATTCGACTCCGCGATCCCGACGACCGAACCGCCCAACGAGAGGTACCGCCAAAATGTCGACCAAGCAGAAGAAGCCCGCCGGAAAGCAGCGTTCCGCCATCGCTGATGTCGTCGCTCGCGAGTACACCGTCCACATGCACAAGCGCGTTAGTATTTCCCCGGGAAAGAAGAAAAAGGACGCCGCCGTCGACATCGAACTCAATGGCCCACGACGGTGATCCGGTAGCATAGCATAGCAAATGCTGACAATCTTCGCTCTGTAGCTCCACGGCGTTTCCTTCAAGAAGCGCGCTCCCCGTGCCATCAAGGAGATCAAGGCTTTCGCTTTCCAGGCCATGGTACGTCTTGCTTGTCCCTCTCGAATTCAATCCCGAAATTTTGCACCCACGCCTCAACAACACCTAAACACCAATGGACCTCCATCTCGAACAACACTACACGGATCGAAATCGCTGGGAGAATAGTCACTAACCTTATGATTCGCATAGGGCACCTCCGACGTCCGCGTTGACCCCCAGCTGAACAAGAAGGTTTGGGAGCAGGGCATCAAGGGCGTTCCCTACAGACTCCGCATCCGCATCTCCCGCAGACGAAACGACGAGGAGGGTGCCAAGGAGAAGCTGTACAGCTACGTCCAGGCCGTCAACGTCAAGAACCCCAAGGGTCTCCAGACTGTTGTCGTTGAGGAGTAAAAAGTTCTCTTTGGGATGGTTTCAGGGCGGCATAAAGGCATCGGAGTTGCATTCGGCATTCTAGTCTCACATACAAAATCGACGGAAATGTGAACAACGCTTGATTCCCCACACGACTTCGACGACTTTTTACTAGTATTGGACCCCGCGATGTGGTGGAATGTTATTTTTTTGTCTGCGCCAAAGCGCGCGCGAAGGAAGCGTTGCGTATGTGTCAGGCAATGGTGAACGATGACGAAGGCTCTTTGGGACGTCAACAATCTCTTGTGGTTCATGTAACACAGATCGTCCAACAGGGTCTTCTTTTTTTTATCGTCTTGGTCGCGGTCTGCCAGAAGCAGATCAACAGGATATACCCAATCCTGAAGGCCAAGTCCCGACCATGCAATGCAGTCCAATTCCTAACAAAAAGAGTTCCAAAACCACCGGCCCGTAATCATACATGATAGACTCCAATTCTCCAGTGCTCGAAACAATGTTCTTTCATGCTCGTGTCATCCACAAACAAGTCTATGCTCACTCGTCCTCGACATCGCGGTGACGGGCGAGGACCTTGCGCTTGAACTCTTCGGGGTCCTTGTCCCACAACTCTGCGGCCTCGCCGTTGAGAGGAGAGGCGCTGGCTCCATATTAGCATCGTCCGACGAACCACTTTTTGCCGGGGCCACTCACTTGTTTGGTTCACCCAGCAGACTTTGCAAGCTGAGAAGTACAGTCTGAATGTTGTAGGCGGGTGTCCACTTGTCCTTGAGAATATCCAAGCAGATGCGGCCAGAGAAGTCAAAGTTGGGATGATAGATTGGCGTCGTGAAGAGCACCGTTGGCGCAGCGTAGGGGTAGTTGTTGGGGAATGCCAGGCTGAGCTTGAGCGTCAGGCCTGCGTAGGGAGTCTGTTCGGGTCCCTCGATCGTCGCCGTCCAAGACATGAGGTTGCCATCTGCCGAAGGGAATGCTGAGACGCCGGGAGCGGGAGAAGTCATAAGTTGCATCAATTCCGTCTGCAATCTGTGGTCATGAGATTAGCCAATCTGGTCGTAGATGAGATGGCAACATCTTCCAACGACATCTTCGTACCTCTTGGTGACGCTCTGCGCATCAGGTCCCTTCCTGGTGCCAGCAAGCTTGGCTGCCGGAACGCTTCCGGGAGCGGAGTTCTGGGTGTCCTCCATGCTGTAGTCCATTGTCGCAAAGGTCGTGAGATGAGAGAAGCAATCGCAAAGAGCACTGATCGAGGCGAAGGGGGTGTCTTGAGGCTGGGAGGCTGGGATGAGAACTGGGATGAAGCAGGTAGGTGTTTGCTAAGGTAAGGTGATATACGGCCAGTCAATACTTATGTGCAGGGAAATGCAACGTGCGGGAAGATGATCAAGGGGCGAGGTTGGAAGCTTGTAGCGTCAAGAACAACAGAGGGCAATTATTTCGTAGGCCGAGAAGGGCTCCTAGGATGGGGAATCGGAGACGCTGGTACCTGGGCGACGCGCTGACTTTGACATCCGCTTTTGGGCTAGCGCCGTCGCTGCCGTTACAAACGTCAACGGCGAGTACGTATCCCAGTGACACAAAGTGTCGACGACCTCACTTCAATACTTCAAATCGAGCCTCCATCGCACCTTCCTCGTCCCAAGTCCAGACGTTCAATAAGCCCATGATTTCCCCCAACTGAATTGAAATTTGAACTCATCTTCCAAAGACGGATTGGACGTATGTCTGCAATCAAGTATGCTTGCTTGGCGATCTGGATCAATCAACAGTTTGGGAATCGATAAATCAACGGCTACGTTGCGCTGATGCCTTTGATGAATGCCACAGAGTCTTTCTTCCACTTTCTTGCTTCTGTCTCATCCGAAAGACTTTGACGTTCCCTATATCACTTCCAAATGGTGCTCAATTCACCTTGGGGGAGAAAACACGTCGCATCTAGAAAATAAGTTAAGAGCAATTTGCTCTGTCTAGTTTCCACTATGAGTAACATCTGAAATCTGAAGTTCTAGTCTTTGAAAAACACTTGACATAAGCCAGGTAGATCATTGTTGACTTGGTGCTGTAAGCTAGTAGTAGCCGTGCCCTTGGCGTTAGATTATAGCCCTTGTGAGAATGAATCCCGAGTCCAAAATCATACACTCTGAGCAGTAATTAGTAGACTACCTGAACATGACCGATACGAAAGCAGGCATTTGTACAGGAATTAGGGGATCTAGGTATACTCACTTTCGACTCCAATACTAATGATTCCTTCTACTTTCGTGAATCTACAATGTACTTACCTATCAGGCTGTCCTGCTAAAGTAGCAGTAATATAAGTAGTAGGAAGTGAGTCTAATTATGATGTGGGGAACTTCTTGCCTCCTGTAGCATATTCTGCTCCTAATAAAGTGCTGTTGGTGAGAAGTATCGTCTAATGTAGTTAAGGAAGGTACGCTCTTTCCCTCCTTCCTTCTTTTCCTGGATTTCCTCTCACCAGTGGCCACTATACCTCATCTTTTGTTTCCACTTAGCCCTTTGAGAAGATTTTGCCAATTCACCTCAGCATTAGACGTTATCACTCACATTGAGGAAATCCCTACTCCTACAGGCATCACAGAGTTTACAGTCTCCTTATCCTCTTCCGAAAATCATCTCGACATTTTCCGCGCGATTCTTTCTTCTCGTCAGCTGCGCGCAATGGATGACGATCTCATCCTATTCGCTGAAGCACCTGAGATGGATCAGCGCACTGGATGTTGCCCCTGGCAGGGCTGTGTGCACAGCCCTGTCAACCTCATCCCAGAGGTTGCAGTCAGGTAAGTTATAACTTCTCGGTACCCAACTGGCCAAATATCACTGATAAACTAACTTCATCAAGACTTCTGAGTGCTGACAGCTCTCCGGCCAAAGACAAGACTGAACAAAAGGCCCTGTTGTTGTCTGATGTGAAAGCGGACAATACTACCAGCTCTGCTGGAATTCAGATCGCTCCGGCTGTTGTTCCAAAGAAAGTCGAGAAGTCAGTGGTCGCCGCAGTGAAGAGCAATGCAACGGTGTGCGCGTCCCATGCGTCCCTCAAGCATTGGCTGTGGAAATGCGTCAAAGAAGGAGACCTTCGTTGCCACTCCTGCAAGAAGACACAAAAGGATTTCATCTTCGAATGTCCAAGATGCATGTTCAAAATGTGTTTCCACTGTCGGGCCCAGCGTGGTTGGACCTCTCGAGGGGCTAAGTAAGTATACTGACATCTTTCCATAGTTACTACTCTAACATACTGCAGGGATATGCGCCGTCAACTTAAGAACGCCCAGAAGAAACCTCGTGATGCGGATCATTGAGCAGCCGAGGCTGGGATGTGAGCGTTGAGGCTGGAGCATGACAGACAGCATGGATTCTGGCGATGGAGAAGAGAGTTGACAGGCGCAGGAGATTCGCGAAGACGGTGGATACATCAGTGTCATTATATTCCACATGTTCGCTACGGAAGAGTCCAGAGATTATGGGTTGACTGGTTTGTGCGGGTTGGCCAGCCGCATCCGATCACTGAAATTGAGATTGAGATAATTTCCCAATTGTTTTGCATTTGGATTCCTAACGGAGGTGGTAAGGGGGGATCACAGAAAGATTTGGAGTTTTCTACTCTCCTGCCAAGTCTAGAGTCAAACAACACAACCATCCACCCTCAATACAATCTCTAAACCGGGATTATTGACGTGTTAATGGTCACCTCCCAAGATAAATTGACTTCGGCTTGTTGATCTTGCTGGGCAGTCTGGCCTTGCTACAAAAGCGGCGACACTATAGAGCAGGGGTCCTGCCACTTTGGAGGGGTGTACCGGGGAGTGGCGGCGGACTGTTTACCTGGCCAACACTGCAGCAACCGCGATAAGAAAGCTTATCGGCCAATGAGTTCGCGTTGATGCAGGCGGCAATGAAACACCTTCCATGACTCCAAACAAAACACGCCAAAAGCTCTTTACGCGGTCGGGACGCGCCTCAGAGTGCTAACGCGGGGGACTCAAGACACACCACAATCAACATGGTGAGTTCTTGTTGACGCTGGACCCTTGGACCCTTTGTGCGGAAATCGCCCTACGCGAGTTTGATACGTCATCCATCTATCCCATTTTGCCTGGCATCTTTTGCCTGACAGCATTGTGAATTGATATCCCTGTTCGCCATTTCATTTCCCCTGTGCTCGGTCGGTCTTAGCCATGAAGTAGTCTGTCGCAGACTCTCTTCCAAAACCATCTGAACTTCTCGGCTCACTCAGCGAAGATGCAGCAATCGCAGCTGGACCCCCTGCCTAATGACCTGCCCTTCCGGGTCATTTCAAAGACAATTGGGCGAGGGGCTTATGCATCGTAGGAACTCTACCCCTCCATCTCACATCTGATGAACCCCGGCACTGACTACGAGCACACAGAATCAAGAAAGCCGTCCCTCTGGATGCAAACACACCCGTCTTCGCTGTCAAATTCATCCATAAGGGTTACGCCGTCAAGCATGGCCGCGTCTCGGCGAAGCAGCTCCTCATGGAGGTATCGCTCCATTCACATGTCGGCCAGCACCCCAACATCATTGAATGGTTCGCCTCGGGAGAAGACACCAATTGGCGATGGATTGCCATGGAGTTTGCCGATGGAGGTGACCTCTTTGACAAAATTGAGGCAGACGTGGGCGTTCACGAGAACATTGCTCACCTCTACTTCCTGCAGCTCATCAGCGGCGTGAGCTTCATCCACTCAAAGGGCGTCGCGCATCGGGATTTGAAGCCCGAAAACATTTTGCTATCCGAGACGGGAAGTCTGAAGCTCGCCGACTTTGGCATGTCAACCATGTTCGAGTACAAGGGTCAACGCAAGACGAGTTCCACCCTTTGCGGCAGTCCGCCATACATCGCCCCTGAGATCCTTGCCTGCAGCAAGGCGGAGAAGAAGGCATCCCCGGACGCGGTCAAGTACTCGCCAGACCTCGTTGACATCTGGTCATGCGGCGTCATCCTCTTCGTACTCCTGGTTGGAAACACACCTTGGGATGAGCCGTCAAAAGGCAGCTGGGAGTACCAGGAGTACGTGCGAACGAATGGCCGCAGCACAGATGCGCTTTGGGGGAGGATACCGTCAGATACCTTATCACTGCTTCGAGGCATGATGAATATTGACCCGAGTAAACGCTTCTCTTTTCGACAGATTCGACAACACCCATGGTACACCAGACAAAACCCGCACCTAACATCGGACGGCAAGATTTCCGACCCAATCAATCTGGCCACGCAGATGCTGGAGAGTCTCAAGATCGATTTCAACCAGCTGCCCACAGCCTCCCAGGGCAATCCATCCAGTAGTGATCCCATGGATATCGACAGCGCCGGCAAAGTGTCCTTCACTCAGCCCGAAACACCCATCAATGACGTCGCATGGGACTGGGAGCGCCCCGCTCTCAAGGTCATGAACCCCATTGCGGTCTCCTCCACACAACCTCTGACCCGAAGCGTGAGCGGCGTCGCCAACCGACGCTTGTTTATGGAGTCACTTGCAGAAGAGCCTTCCATCAGCCAGTTCTCACAGACCCCCGGCGTCCCGCTGACCCTCACTCAAGCGGCTCGTCGCTTCCGTGATATCGTGCCGTTCGAGTCCCTTACGCGCTTCTTCTCCCACGTGCCGCCCCAGCTCATCGTGCAGATGCTTAGCGACGCCCTACACCAGCTCAACGTCCCGCTGCCGCCCGTCACGGCGAACCTGTACTCAGACCACATCGTCATCATCAAGATTAAGACGCTGGACGCGCGTCGACAGTCGCTGCACGGCGAGATCCACGTCGACAGGCACCGGCTGCCCGAGGAGCAGGAGCTGTTGGACATTCGGTTCGTCAAGATCAAGGGAGACCCCCTGGAATGGCGTCGTTTCTTCAAGAAGATTGTCGTCCTCTGCAAGGATGGCGTGTACGTCCCGGATGCATAGGAAGGATGCCGGCTTGTTGTTGTTGTTGTTGTTGTTGTTGTATTTAACGCCGTGGCGGCCGGGCTAGAGCCCTTACCGCAGACCTCCCGAAGGGTATATGGCGTGGAGGGCCGTGAGCCAAGGCTACCTACTCTACAGTACGTCGTCTCTTTACATCGTCCTCCAAATCATGCCTTGTGGCCACTACGCGTTCTGTCTGTCCCCGGTTCCCGCTGGTGCCCCAGTTTCATTCTTTCCCAAATCGTCCCTTGGAATCGGGAGGTTCTTTGTAGTCCGCACTCACATCTACGTAGGTGTGGATGCTGCTACCGCAGACAGATCTTCTGGAAGAAGTCCGTCACGCGGAGAAAGGCCTCGAAGCCTCGTGGGTCGGTGATTAATCTCTTGAAGTAGGCCTCGAGAGATCCCATAGGGCCTATGGGCTCGGGCATACTGCGAGAGTGGAGGGTCGGCCACCGTTGCCTCCTCGCCAGCGTTAGTCGACAGTAGACCAGGTGGTCCACGTCTTTCGCCTCTCCACAAGAGCACATCATTAGAGCGTCGTCGTGGTTGAAACGTCGGTGATATTGCTCGAAGTCCCCGTGACCCGATCGTGCCGCCAGCAGGTGATGTAACGTAGCCCGCGGCAAGGCCAGTTCAGGAGGGCTGGACAGAGCTGCCTCAAGCCCCAAGTCCGCGTACCGCGGCCTTCGCTCTTTATACCACCATCTCCTGTGCTGGCTTTGTAATTTTTCCCTTGCAAGCCGCTTGATGCCCGCTAGTGTTGCCATTTGACCCATCCGCGCCGGCAGTGTCGTTCCTTCTTTGGCCAGCCGGTCCGCGGCCTCGTTTCCTTCGATGCCCTGGTGTCCCGGGGACCAGTGCGTCCGTATATCAAATATCCTGGCCGCTTCTTGGATTTCGAGGAACGCGTCTTGTGACGAGTCCGGCGCCTTGCCGCGGATGCCTTGTATAACGCTGGTGTTGTCGATACATATGTGGATTGGATGACCGCGATTGGTGAGCAGAGCCCTTCTGAGGCCGGTTCGCGCCCCTTCGACCTCGGCGTCGAACACTTCTGCTAGTCCGAGTCGGCCGCACCCTTGTGCTATGCGTTTGGAGTCTCGGTAGATGACGAAGCCGTACCCCACGGCTCCGTTCGTCGCCCTGGAGCCGTCCGAGAAGACGATCATATGGCTTTCCGGTACTGTCTTTAGCCAGCGCTCGAAAGCTTTCGCAGCCTCTTCTTTGCATTGAACTACTATCTGATCCTGTGAGCTTGGCAGGTACTGTGATTGAAGGAACGCTGGTCTTCCGCATCTTGGCAGAAGTTCAGCCGTCCGTTGTAGTCTCGTCTGTTGCTGTCCCTGCTGGGAGAGCCGCGCGACTAGCGGGTGTCGGCGATCAATCCTCTGTAGTCGGACTGCGGCCCGTAAGCGGACGCCCTCTAAGGCGACTTTGGCTGACGGTAAGCCGGCGTCTCGGAGGAGGCTACTGGTTGGCGTTGTCCTCCAGACAGGCAGAACGGCCCTTGCTGCCGCTGTAATGACGCTGTCGATCTTCTGCACGAGCCCCTTTTGGCCTGTGTTGACGGGTCTTCCTTGGAGAGGCGGATTCGTGTCTGTCTCCGCTTGGCGTCTCGAAGCCGGCTTCGTGATACCTGCGTACCATGTTTCGGCGCCGAAGAGCGCGATCGGCAGTACGCTGGGCTGGGGTGTCTGGTTCGACAAGAGACTGTCCTTCCGGCACCATGTCGACGCAAAAGTAGCTGCAGCAAAGAGGGCAGCTCAACATCTGAGACAGCTTACGAACACAAAGAGGGGACTCCCAGCGGCCGCCGTGCGAAAAGCCGTCGTCTCCTGCGTACTGCCGATCGCGCTCTTCGGCGCCGAAACATGGTACGCAGGTATCACGAAGCCGGCTTCGAGACGCCAAGCGGAGACAGACACGAATCCGCCTCTCCAAGGAAGACCCGTCAACACAGGCCAAAAGGGGCTCGTGCAGAAGATCGACAGCGTCATTACAGCGGCAGCAAGGGCCGTTCTGCCTGTCTGGAGGACAACGCCAACCAGTAGCCTCCTCCGAGACGCCGGCTTACCGTCAGCCAAAGTCGCCTTAGAGGGCGTCCGCTTACGGGCCGCAGTCCGACTACAGAGGATTGATCGCCGACACCCGCTAGTCGCGCGGCTCTCCCAGCAGGGACAGCAACAGACGAGACTACAACGGACGGCTGAACTTCTGCCAAGATGCGGAAGACCAGCGTTCCTTCAATCACAGTACCTGCCAAGCTCACAGGATCAGATAGTAGTTCAATGCAAAGAAGAGGCTGCGAAAGCTTTCGAGCGCTGGCTAAAGACAGTACCGGAAAGCCATATGATCGTCTTCTCGGACGGCTCCAGGGCGACGAACGGAGCCGTGGGGTACGGCTTCGTCATCTACCGAGACTCCAAACGCATAGCACAAGGGTGCGGCCGACTCGGACTAGCAGAAGTGTTCGACGCCGAGGTCGAAGGGGCGCGAACCGGCCTCAGAAGGGCTCTGCTCACCAATCGCGGTCATCCAATCCACATATGTATCGACAACACCAGCGTTATACAAGGCATCCGCGGCAAGGCGCCGGACTCGTCACAAGACGCGTTCCTCGAAATCCAAGAAGCGGCCAGGATATTTGATATACGGACGCACTGGTCCCCGGGACACCAGGGCATCGAAGGAAACGAGGCCGCGGACCGGCTGGCCAAAGAAGGAACGACACTGCCGGCGCGGATGGGTCAAATGGCAACACTAGCGGGCATCAAGCGGCTTGCAAGGGAAAAATTACAAAGCCAGCACAGGAGATGGTGGTATAAAGAGCGAAGGCCGCGGTACGCGGACTTGGGGCTTGAGGCAGCTCTGTCCAGCCCTCCTGAACTGGCCTTGCCGCGGGCTACGTTACATCACCTGCTGGCGGCACGATCGGGTCACGGGGACTTCGAGCAATATCACCGACGTTTCAACCACGACGACGCTCTAATGATGTGCTCTTGTGGAGAGGCGAAAGACGTGGACCACCTGGTCTACTGTCGACTAACGCTGGCGAGGAGGCAACGGTGGCCGACCCTCCACTCTCGCAGTATGCCCGAGCCCATAGGCCCTATGGGATCTCTCGAGGCCTACTTCAAGAGATTAATCACCGACCCACGAGGCTTCGAGGCCTTTCTCCGCGTGACGGACTTCTTCCAGAAGATCTGTCTGCGGTAGCAGCATCCACACCTACGTAGATGTGAGTGCGGACTACAAAGAACCTCCCGATTCCAAGGGACGATTTGGGAAAGAATGAAACTGGGGCACCAGCGGGAACCGGGGACAGACAGAACGCGTAGTGGCCACAAGGCATGATTTGGAGGACGATGTAAAGAGACGACGTACTGTAGAGTAGGTAGCCTTGGCTCACGGCCCTCCACGCCATATACCCTTCGGGAGGTCTGCGGTAAGGGCTCTAGCCCGGCCGCCACGGCGTTAAATACAACAACAACAACAACAACAACAAGCCGGCATCCTTCCTATGCATCCGGGACGTACACGCCATCCTTGCAGAGGACGACAATCTTCTTGAAGAAACGACGCCATTCCAGGGGGTCTCCCTTGATCTTGACGAACCGAATGTCCAACAGCTCCTGCTCCTCGGGCAGCCGGTGCCTGTCGACGTGGATCTCGCCGTGCAGCGACTGTCGACGCGCGTCCAGCGTCTTAATCTTGATGATGACGATGTGGTCTGAGTACAGGTTCGCCGTGACGGGCGGCAGCGGGACGTTGAGCTGGTGTAGGGCGTCGCTAAGCATCTGCACGATGAGCTGGGGCGGCACGTGGGAGAAGAAGCGCGTAAGGGACTCGAACGGCACGATATCACGGAAGCGACGAGCCGCTTGAGTGAGGGTCAGCGGGACGCCGGGGGTCTGTGAGAACTGGCTGATGGAAGGCTCTTCTGCAAGTGACTCCATAAACAAGCGTCGGTTGGCGACGCCGCTCACGCTTCGGGTCAGAGGTTGTGTGGAGGAGACCGCAATGGGGTTCATGACCTTGAGAGCGGGGCGCTCCCAGTCCCATGCGACGTCATTGATGGGTGTTTCGGGCTGAGTGAAGGACACTTTGCCGGCGCTGTCGATATCCATGGGATCACTACTGGATGGATTGCCCTGGGAGGCTGTGGGCAGCTGGTTGAAATCGATCTTGAGACTCTCCAGCATCTGCGTGGCCAGATTGATTGGGTCGGAAATCTTGCCGTCCGATGTTAGGTGCGGGTTTTGTCTGGTGTACCATGGGTGTTGTCGAATCTGTCGAAAAGAGAAGCGTTTACTCGGGTCAATATTCATCATGCCTCGAAGCAGTGATAAGGTATCTGACGGTATCCTCCCCCAAAGCGCATCTGTGCTGCGGCCATTCGTTCGCACGTACTCCTGGTACTCCCAGCTGCCTTTTGACGGCTCATCCCAAGGTGTGTTTCCAACCAGGAGTACGAAGAGGATGACGCCGCATGACCAGATGTCAACGAGGTCTGGCGAGTACTTGACCGCGTCCGGGGATGCCTTCTTCTCCGCCTTGCTGCAGGCAAGGATCTCAGGGGCGATGTATGGCGGACTGCCGCAAAGGGTGGAACTCGTCTTGCGTTGACCCTTGTACTCGAACATGGTTGACATGCCAAAGTCGGCGAGCTTCAGACTTCCCGTCTCGGATAGCAAAATGTTTTCGGGCTTCAAATCCCGATGCGCGACGCCCTTTGAGTGGATGAAGCTCACGCCGCTGATGAGCTGCAGGAAGTAGAGGTGAGCAATGTTCTCGTGAACGCCCACGTCTGCCTCAATTTTGTCAAAGAGGTCACCTCCATCGGCAAACTCCATGGCAATCCATCGCCAATTGGTGTCTTCTCCCGAGGCGAACCATTCAATGATGTTGGGGTGCTGGCCGACATGTGAATGGAGCGATACCTCCATGAGGAGCTGCTTCGCCGAGACGCGGCCATGCTTGACGGCGTAACCCTTATGGATGAATTTGACAGCGAAGACGGGTGTGTTTGCATCCAGAGGGACGGCTTTCTTGATTCTGTGTGCTCGTAGTCAGTGCCGGGGTTCATCAGATGTGAGATGGAGGGGTAGAGTTCCTACGATGCATAAGCCCCTCGCCCAATTGTCTTTGAAATGACCCGGAAGGGCAGGTCATTAGGCAGGGGGTCCAGCTGCGATTGCTGCATCTTCGCTGAGTGAGCCGAGAAGTTCAGATGGTTTTGGAAGAGAGTCTGCGACAGACTACTTCATGGCTAAGACCGACCGAGCACAGGGGAAATGAAATGGCGAACAGGGATATCAATTCACAATGCTGTCAGGCAAAAGATGCCAGGCAAAATGGGATAGATGGATGACGTATCAAACTCGCGTAGGGCGATTTCCGCACAAAGGGTCCAAGGGTCCAGCGTCAACAAGAACTCACCATGTTGATTGTGGTGTGTCTTGAGTCCCCCGCGTTAGCACTCTGAGGCGCGTCCCGACCGCGTAAAGAGCTTTTGGCGTGTTTTGTTTGGAGTCATGGAAGGTGTTTCATTGCCGCCTGCATCAACGCGAACTCATTGGCCGATAAGCTTTCTTATCGCGGTTGCTGCAGTGTTGGCCAGGTAAACAGTCCGCCGCCACTCCCCGGTACACCCCTCCAAAGTGGCAGGACCCCTGCTCTATAGTGTCGCCGCTTTTGTAGCAAGGCCAGACTGCCCAGCAAGATCAACAAGCCGAAGTCAATTTATCTTGGGAGGTGACCATTAACACGTCAATAATCCCGGTTTAGAGATTGTATTGAGGGTGGATGGTTGTGTTGTTTGACTCTAGACTTGGCAGGAGAGTAGAAAACTCCAAATCTTTCTGTGATCCCCCCTTACCACCTCCGTTAGGAATCCAAATGCAAAACAATTGGGAAATTATCTCAATCTCAATTTCAGTGATCGGATGCGGCTGGCCAACCCGCACAAACCAGTCAACCCATAATCTCTGGACTCTTCCGTAGCGAACATGTGGAATATAATGACACTGATGTATCCACCGTCTTCGCGAATCTCCTGCGCCTGTCAACTCTCTTCTCCATCGCCAGAATCCATGCTGTCTGTCATGCTCCAGCCTCAACGCTCACATCCCAGCCTCGGCTGCTCAATGATCCGCATCACGAGGTTTCTTCTGGGCGTTCTTAAGTTGACGGCGCATATCCCTGCAGTATGTTAGAGTAGTAACTATGGAAAGATGTCAGTATACTTACTTAGCCCCTCGAGAGGTCCAACCACGCTGGGCCCGACAGTGGAAACACATTTTGAACATGCATCTTGGACATTCGAAGATGAAATCCTTTTGTGTCTTCTTGCAGGAGTGGCAACGAAGGTCTCCTTCTTTGACGCATTTCCACAGCCAATGCTTGAGGGACGCATGGGACGCGCACACCGTTGCATTGCTCTTCACTGCGGCGACCACTGACTTCTCGACTTTCTTTGGAACAACAGCCGGAGCGATCTGAATTCCAGCAGAGCTGGTAGTATTGTCCGCTTTCACATCAGACAACAACAGGGCCTTTTGTTCAGTCTTGTCTTTGGCCGGAGAGCTGTCAGCACTCAGAAGTCTTGATGAAGTTAGTTTATCAGTGATATTTGGCCAGTTGGGTACCGAGAAGTTATAACTTACCTGACTGCAACCTCTGGGATGAGGTTGACAGGGCTGTGCACACAGCCCTGCCAGGGGCAACATCCAGTGCGCTGATCCATCTCAGGTGCTTCAGCGAATAGGATGAGATCGTCATCCATTGCGCGCAGCTGACGAGAAGAAAGAATCGCGCGGAAAATGTCGAGATGATTTTCGGAAGAGGATAAGGAGACTGTAAACTCTGTGATGCCTGTAGGAGTAGGGATTTCCTCAATGTGAGTGATAACGTCTAATGCTGAGGTGAATTGGCAAAATCTTCTCAAAGGGCTAAGTGGAAACAAA